ATATATATATATTTTATATAAAATATATGTATCTTCTAATTTAATATATATATATATATATATATATATATAAGTCAAGATTATAATTGAAATAAAATTAGTGTAAAAATTAATTACATTTTATTATAAAAAAGCATTTGTAAAATTCAAGTTTATTGTTTAGATAGCTAAATCCGTCAAAGATTTCATTAAGTGTTTACTATAAATTAATTTTTTGTCAATAAAATGCTAATAAAAATATAACAATAAAATGATGGTAAATTAATTATGGAAATCTCAAGCAGAATCTGCCATTTCATAACAATTTGAATCTACAATTTGAATTTATAGTCTATTTAAATAATTACAAGATAAATTCTGTTTGGTTTCTGTTAACAATCTGCTATCAGATTTTTATCAGCAAGCTTTGTTGATGGAATATGAGGTTGTAGACGCAATTGATGCCAATCTACTGTAATGCTTGAAACTATTAACAAATTACTAACATACAATATTGCATGATTAAATTTAAATATGTATTTGTGTGAGGTATAAGGTCTGTTTTTTATGGAAGAATTCTCTGGTGCAATAAATTAAAGTGAAATAAACTATATTTGTTTTGTACACAATAAACTGTTGCATTACTTGCACACAATAGATTTGTTTGCAATACTTATATTTTTTACGTTCAAAATCTTTTCTTTCTCTCTTTTTAATGCCTAAATATATATTTATCTCATTTTAAATGCAAAGATTTCAGGAATTTCAAGCAACGCAAACAGATCTTAAGTTTCTTAGTGCAATAAGTTGAAGTGAAATAAATAACAGATGCTTTCCAGCAAGAGATGTAGATAACATAGTATAACAAAGTAAATCATTACATTCTTATTGTTTGTCTTGTTGTTTACCAGTATGAAACAAAGGGTACTTTTCATTTAGTGACACAAGTCAACACAAGTATCGTTTTATCTTTGTTATTCTCTGAATGGCAAGAAAAATAGAATGATGTTCCTGTCAACTTTTGTCACTAAAAGGAAAGCGTCTAAAGATGACATGATCATTGTGTTCCATTGTGTCGTTTCCTGGAGAACACAATATTTGTTTCACTTCAATTATTGTACCATGTATACCAATTCAGAGTTTTACAATATAAAACTCTTTAAATAAAATATATATTAAAAACGATGGAATCTTTAATACCTTGGACGTGGAGAGGTTCCGCCTGTGTCTAGCGTTGTATCTTTCGAACAGGTTCTGATACTTCGCAGTGTCCACCTCCTTGTTGCCGAAATCGATGGTAAAGGCCAACGGAGTCTGCAGTACGCGCGGACCGTTGTCCGTCAGTGACGAGCTCTTTGCAGCCTCTTCACACCTTACTCCCGTCGCGTCGCCGTTGCTCGTCGTTGGTCGCACGTCGACAGGATTCTCGCCTGTCGCGTCTTCACCGGCGCGCGGCAACGACTCGCCCGTGAGCGTCGTGGGTCCGTTGTGAGTCTCCGAGCTAGCGTCGTCGGGCGAGTCCGCCGACGTCGAGAGACTGGCGTCGGACGTCAGCCCGGACGCCTCCGCCACTTCCATGTTCATTGCCATTTAACATGCCAGCCATAGACATCCACGATAAACAGCACATACGGTTCTCCGATGCCGCTCCCTGGATTCAGCACGATTCGCTTAGCAGGCCACTCCTAGGATTGGCAGCACGTCCGTAGAATCACACGACGGTACTCGAGCATTCAGCGTCACGATGATCTAACGTCGAGACTCTGCCTTTGACACATCGACACAGGTGTATCTATCTTGCGCGTACGCCATTGACTGTCGTCATCGCACCCAGCTGTCATTGACACCGACGTCGACACGACCGCACGGGGTGCAGCAGATCGCCATCCGTCGATAACTCACGTCGCGCTGGAAAATCCTCGAAAATCCGTTTTCTTACTTCTGGGCGAAAAAACGAAGCGTCAGAATGATGAAATGAAAGTGAGAGCTACGCGATGAACCGATTGACTGTTATGCAACGACTTTTACCGGAAAAGCAGCATGGAACGCATTGTGAATCTGCATTACAATTACTTCGTGGAACAGCGCGTTTCTAATTGGAACGAGGGTTTCGCCGGATTTCGCGTTGATTTCGCGTTTCTTTCACGAACATTTTACATATGTTTCCATCGATCTCTAGGATTAATTATACGCGATACGTGATATTGTTTTTCCAGATGTTAATTGGTAAAAACTTGTTCATCCAACAATGGTATACCGACGAAGAAATGTGAGTTTTAAGAGAAAAAAATGGAGAACAGATGTCGTTGTTGCAGCGAGCAATTTTGGTCACATGGTCAAACGGAATGTTCTGGGAAATATTGGGAGGCATGTCAAGCATGTGGTGTATTTAGCCGGTGTGTTTTGCAACATAAAGCTCAAATAAAAATTAAAAATTGCTTTTGAATCGCACAACAGTAGAAGGAAAATGAAGGGTTCTTCGACGGTATATCAAATTTTATTACTGTATTTTATTTATTTAGTGAAGCATCAAGTTGGGTTTCTAACTCTTAACCTTCTCTCAAGAAATTTTTACGTTTCTGTGCAGTATAATATTAAAAATTACTTTTCTATCATATCTAAATTTTTATATTAATGTATGATAAATATGCACTATAATACTCCCATCTCTAATTTTTATGTAATTTTTTACGTTTGTGTACTTTTAGGCATAGAATTTATTCCGAGAAGGAAAATCATCACTTGGAATATATTCTGTGCACGAAAATATACAAATTTATGAAATTACAAGAAGATCAAAGGGGCGTTTAGACTGCAAATTTATCTAATTTATGTATATATTTAAACTCAGATATATTATTTCTTGATATATAATTCTTAGAATTTAATTTGTTTAAAGTGATTTATTATTTTACATATTATTTTAAATTGATATATTAATTTAAGTACTAGTGTATTTATATGCATGTATTTAAATTTAGAAATATCCTTTGCTTGATGCATAATAATACTTCTATAGAAAAAAATAAAAAAAAAATGTTTGATAAATAATTCCAGTCGAGCAAACACAATAAACACAATAAACGCAAGGCTGAGAATACTGTTGAAAATGAAGACTCAATGAATTCTGAATCTGACAATGAAAGTACAATAAATTTAGAGATTGATGAAAAGGATTCAGTGAACTCTGATAATACAGATCTGATGGAAGATGAGGACAATGACGAAGATCTTGAATCTGACAATGCAGACTCTATACAAGATGATGAAGAGGAAGAAATAGAATTGGACAGTCAAGAGATTGAACATCTTATAGAAAATCAAGAAAAAAAGAGAAAGAAAGTTACAGACGAGTTAACCGAGGCAGCATCTAAGAAAAAGAAAAAGTTAGAAAAAAATCTTTACAAGCAACCAACGGTCGAAGAACTCAGTCAGCTTAGGGAAACTGAAAATTTATTTCATTCAAATTTGTTTCGACTTCAAATTGAAGAGGTTCTCAATGAAGTGAGACTCAAAAATAAATATAAAGCGTTATTTGAGATTTGGTTTGGGAAGTTGAAAGCAGCAATTGAATCTATCAAAGAGACTGAAGAAGTTTCGGCAAGTAACACATCTAAACTAAACTGTAAGATACAAGAGGCAATAAATTATGATTATATAATCTATTGATATATTTCAGCTTGTAGATAATAATTTGAATGATAAATTAGGTATTTGCGTTCCTGTGCCAAATGTACCAAAAGAAACTAAAAGTGTTTTTAAGTTCTTGAAGCCATCCAATATTAGTGTGGTTGGATCTTATAATTCAGGATGTATTCTTGGATCCACTGTTACCGTAGATATAATGGTGGAGATGCCAATCAGTTTATTCCGGAAGCAGGATTATCAGAACTATGTGTATTTTAGAAAGAAAGCAACATATTTGGCGTTCGTAGCGTCGAATATAGGAAGCGATATCGCCGAGAGCAAGAAATTTATCGGTGATAATCTAAGACCTTCCTTGAAGCTTCGACCCAGTGGAAGGTTAAACAAAAAGGTGGACATAGTGATACACATATCTGCACAGGAAAGTAGTTTTAAGTTGAATAGATTTTTGCCAGAGAAAAATAGTGTTAGGCCAGGATGGTATTTCAACAACAAGCAAAATAGTTCTTTGGAAGACAGTAAGTTTGATGATTTATATATTTATATTTTGGAGAAAATTATTTTAAAATTTTATACCGTAAAATTATATTTTTTTATATTGTATTATTTTGTCTACAGCGTCTTTACCACCCACTCCACACTATAACTCTCTGGTATTGCATGACTTGATAATGTTAAGGACTAATTCCGAAGTTGCGCAAGCAATAAAAGAGTACCCAAATTTGAGGGACGGTATAATCTTGCTGAAAATATGGTTGTGCCAACGTGAATTGAATAAGGGATACGATGGCTTCACTAGCCACATAATTACTATGTTCGTGCTCTATTTACTACGCGAGAAAAAGCTGAATACTTTTATGAGTAGCTATCAAATTGTACGGAATGTCTGGATTTGCTTAGGTATTTTGAAAAGTTGTTAATTATGCTGTTTTTTTTTGCATTATCTGAGATAGTAATTGCATTTATTTGATATAGCACAGGGAAATTGGTGCGAGAGTGGAATTACTATGTGTGAAGATAAGGATAATCAGAATCAAATACTCCATTATCACAAATACTACGATTGTGTCTTTCTTGATACAAGTGGATATTGTAATTTCGCTGCGAATCTATCGAAAGATACTTTTTCGTGGGTACAGAGAGAAGCGGCGCTATGCTTGAAACACATAGATAATATACACGTTGATAGCTTTCATGCACTTTTCATGCGAAGCGTGCCATTTCATAGAGCATTTGATCACATTTTATGGTAATTCACAGATTGATATAAATTTTTGTATTATAAAAATCAGATCTATTTTAATAACTTTTGTCATTTCTATATGTGTAGTTTTCAGGACAAATCCTTTTTAGAGATAACAGTAAATGCAAAATCCACCGTAGATAATAAACTAAATTATGGACCTGATAAACGTAGTCAGGCGATTAAACTGCTTTTCAATGTTCTGAAGAAAGGTCTAGGAGATAGAATTAATCGATTGTGCGTACTACCCAATGTATGTAAGGAATGGGAATGTACCGAGAAGATACCAGATAGTATTGGAAAGCTTGTTATTGGACTAGAATTGAATCCTGAAACATGTTTCAATATCGTGGATAAAGGACCTGAAGCGAATTTACCAGAAGTAAGCAAATCATTAAAATAACCTCTTAAAACGATGATAAAATAAAGAATGCAACAATTATTATTTAAAGTAACGATTACGATAATACTTTTAAAATTAATATTTATAATATACTATAAAATATAAAATTTTGTTTTCTATTTTGTTATTACTAAACTTGTTATTCTATTTTGCAGGCAGTTGACTTCAGAAATTTTTGGGGCGACAAATCCGAATTACGTAGATTTAAAGATGGAGCCATTCGTGAAGCTGTGATTTGGTCAAAAGGTAAAACTCTCACAGACAAGAGAATAATATGCAAGAAGATAATAGTATTTCTATTAGAAACAAAGTTCAGTATCTTCAAAAACCAATATTTATACGTCGCGAATCAAATGGAAGATTTGCTGAAATTACACAAGGTGACTTTATGATTACTAACATAGTCATTTAAGATGCTTTATTCTTAGTTAATAACTATTTTCTTTAAATTTTATATACTTTATGAGTATGTACTTTTATTTAGTATAAAATAACGCACTTCGTATACGGGACCGGTGAAGAAGCTACACTGAAGGTTCTGCAAGCTTTCAATACCTTAGAGAAAAATTTGATGTCTTTGAACGATATGCCTTTGACAATAAACGGTGTGCAAGGCTCGAGTCCGGTTTTCCGATATGCGGAAGTCTTCCCACCGCTTGCTACCGTTCATCGGCAAGTTGATGGTATCACCGAGGAAAATAAAAATTGCCTGAGCCTTTCAAAAAACATCATAAAATGCCCTACATATGTTCACGCGCTCGATGCAACATTACAGTTGTCGACTAGTGGGAAATGGCCTGAGGAATTGGAAGCCATTAGGAAGACGAAGGCGGCATTTTACATACAAATCGCGGAATGCCTCAGGACGCAGCATGCATTGACAGTACAGGCGAATCCTTCTTATATAGATGTTTACCAGGTTAATGGATTATTTTACTACTATAATATTTCTAATAGTAATTGTATTGTAAATATCTTATAATATTGCATTTAAATTATACATTCTTCTTAATAGAAAGTATAAAATTATCTTTTTATTAGAATGGGTTCGTTTTTCGATTGAGAGTGGCACATCAGAAAGAAATTGCTTTAATGAAACAAGTCAAGGAGGACGGAGTGATTAAATACAGGGACAATGAAGAATCCATTGAATTAGAAAATAAATTATTTCATTTACCGAAATTGAGCAGCGCCTTGCATGGGTAAAAATTGATGAATATAATCCTTGTTAAGATAATTCATAGACTATTATATTAAGAGCATATTTTTTATTTTGAAAGTAACATTTTCCTAAATTAAAATTTTTGTTTCGAATTTGAGTGTCAGCAGATATTTCTAGACTGCATGATATAAGAAACGTTACTATAATTAATGGTTGCCTCTAAAGATGATTAATAAAAATCATTCCTTTATAAATCTGAGATTTCATATATATCATAATATAATATACAAAATTTAGAATATTAAAGATTAAATAAGAGATATGCCTCTATAACATAATTCGTATAAAATTAATCATGTGTAATAAATAAAAAGATAAATAGTATATATTACAGTCTCAATTCTCATTCTTTCAGGTTGCATTCTCAGCAACCGTCATTCGGTCCCGCTTGTTGTTTGGCGAAACGCTGGTTATCAGCGCAACTGTTAGATGATACTCATATACCTGGAATTGTAGTTGAATTGCTCATGGCATCGTTGTATTTAGCACCAGAACCATATAAGCCGGCCCAGACACCTCAAGTAGCATTTCTACGATTTCTAGAAATCGTTGCGAGAGCTCACTGGAACACCGATCCCGTGATTGTTAATTTCAACGGCGAGATGACCAGTAAATCAATAATTTAATTTTCTTATTTTTTAATATGACCGGGTTATCGCAATGTATCATGAAATAATCATTTAATTGAAATAATCAATTGATATTAAAATCGAAATTGATTTTATCCAAATATCGTTACAGAAATTTAATTAGAAAGTAATGAATAATTATTTATTTTAAATATTAAAAGCACTTTTCAGTATTTTTAATATCCATAATAAATCACTACCTTTCATTAAATTAGATTTCTGTAAGGATATATGAAAAAGATAACGAACGGAAAATATTTATTTTAGACTGTATTATCGCTTCTGATCTTATTTTATTATGTAAAAGAATGTCTCAATATATGATGTTATATTTTACAGATGAAGAAATTGCTGCCGTGGAAACATTATTTAATACAGCTCGCAGTTCTCTACCACCCTTATTCATATCTACTCCTTACGATCAGCAGAAAACCTTGTGGACTAGAAAAGCTCCATCGCATTTGGTTATAAACCGTATGAGTGTACTCGCGAAGGAATCGCTGAAATTATTCGACGATTTATTGTTCAATAATGCAGTCTTGGATTTAAAACCTATATTCCGTCCTCCGCTGTTGGAATACGATTGTTTGCTACATTTAAAGTCACTTATGATTCCTAGAAGACTGCAGGCAGTTGATGTACCCAGTAAAGCAAAAATCGTAGATTTACATCCATATAAGATTCATTCTCTCCAAAAAATTCCTGTCGTAGACTTCGATCCTATAGAATGTTTCTTAAAAGATTTAAGAGTAAGTGATCCCGAATAACTTATGTAAACTGTCAACAATTAAAAATGACTTAATTTTATTGAATTATATTAATGTACACGGTATATTAAAAAAAAAAAAGAAATTAATGTCATATGATTTAAATATTAAATATCTAAATAGTTTGAAGCGCTGTATTCTATATGTTCGTTTCTTTTTCATTTTCAGAACGGTTATGGAGATTACGCATTGTTTTTTCATGATACTTATGGTGGAGCGGTGATCGGGGTTTTGTTGAAACCCACTGTCCTCGAGCGTAAAGATTTCAAAGTGTCGGATACCAATTGTAGAAAATTCGATGCTGATGGTAAACTCATCTTAAACATTTCGACTATGATCGAGGACTTTTACATTCTAGGGAGAGGTATAATACGCACGATTGATATTCCTAATAAAAAAAAGTTTTCCTTGATATCAGAGTCAACTACATAGGTATGTTGAAAGCTCGAGAATCTCGAGATTTGTGAAACGCAACATTTGTACATATAGTAAATAAATATTTTTTACAAAAAGATACTACCGAAATATTATGTTAATGAACTGTAAAAATATAATGCTCACTTGTATTTGTTACGATTAGTAATAAACCTCCTTGCTTTTAATTCTACAATAAAACTAATTGTCGAATTAAATAATAGTCATTGCATGTAAGTACATCAATATAGTTTTGTATGAGCTCGACGAATTTTTTTTTGAAAACATTGTATATTTTAAAAGCTAAACTAACCTAAATTACATTTTTTATTTTAAATATCAGATCAAAATGGAGTAAATTAATGAATATTGAATCGTAATAAATTTATATATTAAAATATAAGAAAATACATATTATTTTAAATTTTATCTTATTTAAGATATTATAAATTATAAAAATGATAATTATTATTACTCTAATTCCTTTTACTTCCTTATGTATTTCGTTGTTTTTTTTGTTTTTTTTGTTTTTTTTTTGTTTTTTTACGTTATCACAAATATTACACATTTAATACACATTGATTGGACATTCTTTTTGTAGATAATAAATGGATAGATAATAGCTCTTATTAAAAAATCTGATATTTGCAATTGATAATGCTATTGATAAAATTTATCATTAAATATATTAAATACATCAATTTAATTGCAGTCATATTTAATTTTTTTGCAGTGATATTTACTTTTTTTATTTGAAAATGTGTTCGCGCGAGCGTGTATACATGTCGGCTGTTATTTTAATTATCTATAATTTATAATAAATAATATTTTTTGTCAATAATAAAGTAATTTAGATCACTATAAATTGAAGCTAGATCTTAGTACCTAATAATATTTTTATATGTAAATACATTTTAAACTGTTTTCCGTAATCATAAATTAAAGCTGAAATAATATCAGAATTAAATGAATTGTTGATTTGATAATGAAGCTACTAATATCTTAAAAACTTGTAAAGAATATATATATGTATACACATATCTGGATTATCGTTCCGATATCTTATTATTGTTTATATATCAACTTTAGGAAAACAACAGAGACAAAAATTGTTTATTTTTTTCTCATAAAATTCTGAGAATTTTTTCGGAATTTTTTAATACCGTATTTTCCCATATTGATAAAAATAATTGTCAAAAAATGCAGTACTAAAAAATTGATCAAAAATTCTTAGAGCTCTATGAGAAGGAAATAGACAATTTTTGTCTCTTGTTGCTTTTCTAAAGTTAATTTAATTTAATTTAGTTTATTGCAAAGCTTCATGAAAAAGACTACATGTTAACAGAGTTATAGATATAAAATATGAATAGACTATAGTTAACATAAAATACAATAGACAATAGTAGTTTGCAAATGGTTAGGCGTCAGCAAAATTGCTTACAAAGCCTGTCAGTAACAAAAAATAAAACAACAATGCAATAAGAGGTAAATCAATAAGTGAAATCATCACACACACGCGCGCGCGCGCGCAATATAATAGTATTTGAGTAAAAATTACTATTGAAGACCAATATTTGATAATTTTTAGTAATTAATATCTCATCAATCATTGCGAAAATTGCAAAATGGTAGAAGACTTTTCGATTCAGTTTAGTCCGTTCTATCTACAAAAAGCATTTGACAGAAATCTCGCGGGACATTGTCACACATCTCAGTGAATGAATTGGAAAAGACACCACTCCAGATAGTCAGGAGATTCAAATTCTGGCTGAAGTAATATTTTTCGCAATAAGTTTTTTACAAATTTTTAAAATATTAATAGCATCTTTATTAAATCAATTTCATTGATATTATTTCATTTTCAGTTTATGATTGCATTTCAACAGTAGTAATCAGCAAGCAATTCGTATAGCAGATATAATTGAAGAATGTATTTAAAATCTATATTGAAAAATATTAGGCATCTCTAATTTAGCTCTAACAATACTCTTCAGTATTTATTTTAAATTACAACAAGAACGTAAAAGCAGTGTAATTCAACGTAATTCGATGCCTTGATTTTCATTTATTTTCTTTGATCTTTCAAAGTCATTCAAAGAATTCAAATTCGATTTCTTCTGTTCTGAAATAAACAGTCTAAACACTCATACGTTACATTTATATGGAATTATATTAAAAGGAAGGAAATTACGAGTAAACGCAAATAATACTTGGAAATTATATTGAAAGTTCGTCAACTTGCAGATGCAATATATCTGCATATTAAAACAGATATGTGTGAAAAATTATATTAAGATTATTAATTTTATTAAAACAAGAGAAGTGGCAATAAAGAAATTATTACAAATATGTATATACAATAAACAAAACTTTGTATCTTTCATTATAAATCCTGTAAGAAGAAAATAACAGCGTATCTTTTTTTCTCATTTATAAATATTTTATTTATCTTTTTGTTTCTGCTGTAGCTACGTATTTTAAATTAAGAAATAAACTATTATTTTACCGTTTATATTTTCATGTTTGTGAATAAAAAATATTGAATAAGAAATGCTTACATAAGTAGATGCAAAAATTAGTTCGTATAAATAGCATATATAATAACACATGATATATATATTTTGAAACTTATCGGTAAAATAAGGCAAAAAAAAGAAGTTTCCAGTTATTATTATTTTGGTTTGATAATAAGAATTTCAACAAATGCAGTAAGACTATGTAAAAGTATAACTTTGAAATATTTTGGTTGAATTTTTCAAAAACAAAAAAGAAATGTTTTTATTATGTAGGTATAATAATTTTGTAATAAAAATTATTTGTTATTAAAATTAATACACACAAAGACCCTCGAATGTTTTCAGTATATTCAAATATTTTTATAAACTATTTATTTATTACACACAAAAATGCACAAAGGTACAAATATTTTATCTATAGCTATTAAATAATTGGGAATGAAAAGATTAAGTACGATTTTTATTAACTGCGTGTGCAAACTTAATTATGGATTATCCCAAACAAAAAAAAAACATTTCTTGTGTTTCATTAGAGCATGGATGGATATACAAATTTTAGTATCTGAAAAATTAAATAAACAATATGTGAAACAATATATGAAAAATCTTGCAAACGTATCAATAATTAAAAATCAGATATCAAATCACTATGTAAGATCATATTCTAGTAACAATATCTAATAGATAACTAGGTACGTTGTATATGATTTGATATCCGATTTTTAGTTTAACGAACGTGATTAATGTTTCTTATATTGATATAACAATATCAGCAGACTAAAGTTGTGCGAGTATTTATAAGTCGACGTAAACCGAGGCCGCTTAGTCGTAAAGAGTACTTATATAATGCAAAATGCAACCATTAGAATGGAGCGGTAAGTGCATGATTTCCTTGGATCGAGATCAAATAACAGACGAAAATACAGATGATATATTTGCATCTTACACATATTCATCTTTTCTAAACGCTTTTGCAACATTTCTTTAATTAACATATCTGTGTTATGTAAAAAAATAAAGATTATTTAATTAATATAATTGTGTTTATTTTAGAAATGCGTTTATTAATAATACTGATATTCCTTACTGCTGCCAGAGGATTTCAATATATTCTTCAAAATGGTAGTTTTGAAGTATTAGACAGATATGATCCTAATCTGATAGTCAGCAGGTTCACGACAAAAGGTGAGTTATAATATAATACATAGTTTCTTACGTTTTTCATGTTTGTTAAATGATTTCTATTAACTTCATACAAGCACTCAAGATCCAGTTAGACCGTTTAAGACATCTAATTCTATAGGTTGTGTTTCTCACATATATGA